TCCTGAAGGGAAAATTAAATGGAGCTAGCAAAGTATTACTGTTGGAGGAGGAGGAAGATGATGATGAAGAAAAACTCCACAAAGAAAAGTGTTTTTCATCTGCAAAAACATTGTTGCTTTCATGTGTTTCCACTATCTGTGCTCTGCTCATAATGTGTCAGCGGGCACTCTAAAGTTCATGCGAGTGCGTTTTTATTTACAGAAGAAAACATACAGATGAAAAGTGCACCGAAACTGCTGGGAACATTTTCCCGTCAAATAGACTATGCAATTTAAAGATGTTAGGCTGCATCACACGACTTTTTTTCCATTTAAAAAAAATAAAAAATAGACGTTCTGTGATCGTACGTGTCCATTCTAGTATTTTGTGTAGTTTCCACCCCCCCACTAAACTCTGCCTGCCAATTTTACCGGGCAATATTTCACAGTGCTGTTGTTTTTTTATGGAATATAGCAAACTGCCCTCGCAAATGTTCTTTATTTCAACCCATTTTTCTCAACAGATACACACACATCCCACATCCTGATATAGTCACACCTCTACTAAGACATTAAAAAATGAATAAACTGTAAGATAAACCTGCGGCTAATCTTTCTCCAAGGCCAATTTCAGCCTGGAAAGATTATTACAATTAGAGAGATTTATGGATAAATGAGAAAGTTCTTTGGACCCCGGCAGAAGATGTGAAAGCCGTCAAGGGCAATGAACTTGGATGGCCATTGTAGGATTAGGATTAGATAGATAGATAGATAGATAGATAGATAGATAGATAGATAGATAGATAGATAGATAGATAGATAGATAGATAGATGTGGTCAGAATCCCATAAGGATGAAGCCCAATAGCAGTTCAGTCCCCCTGCCTAACCCTAACCCTAACCCTAACCCTAACCCTAACCCTAACCCTAACCCAAAACAGCCCCGTTCAGAGCGCTCGCTTTGGAGTGCCTGTCTCTTTAAATGCAAATGAGACACAGGCAATCCACCCACTTCTTCAGGGAGGTGTGCCCACGTCGGCACGCTAACGCTACCATGCTAACGCTACCATGTTAACGCTACCACGCTTACGCCCACGCTGCCATGCTAACGCTACCATGCTAACGCTACCATGCTAACGCTCACGCTACCAGGACGTCTCCACAGATAGGGGAGTAAGCTGAGGGGGGGGGCAACATGCAGGTGAAAGGCTGGAATATTATAATGAGCTAGATAATATATAATAATATTAATATTATAATAATAATAATATTATAATGAGCTAGAGCTAATGACGTCAGAAACTACCCACTCCTGAAACCTCCGGCCCACAAAAACATGACCCAGTCATTTTTTTTCACACTTTGCCTGCTGATAGGCCCTCCACAGTCCCAAATGTACACAATCTGTAATGAACGTGATTAGGACCCAGAAGCAACCAGAGGCGTACGGTCAGTTCAACAAGATTTATTAGCGGACAGGGGCTCGGCAGAGGTGTGGTCAGTACAGTCCAGGTCGATAACGGGTGGTCCAGACAGCGAAGGTAATCCAACTCGTGGTCAGGGGCTGGTCGAGGGTCAAAGCCAGGGGAGCAATCCAGGGAGCAGGCGGGAGCACGAAGTCAGGCAGGCGAGGTCATACACGGGCAGGCAGTCAGGATCAGGCAAAGGTACAGACGAGGGACAGGCAGGCTCAGAAGTCGAACGGACGGATCAGGCGGGGGTCAGGCAGGCTTGGAAAACAGGTAGACGGAAGGCAGGTCGAAGATCAGGCAGACAGGACAATATAATGCTGGAAGTACTCACTCTTGGTTCGATACGTTCTGGCAACGAGTTCAGGTAAGCGTGGTGATTATATGGAGGTGGGAACAGGTGAGAGTGATCGGCGCTGATTGCGGGTGAGTAGCTGAGCCGGTGTGCAGGTGGGGGTGGAGCCAGCTCCAGAGCCGGGACGTAACACAATCACATGATTAAAAACTTGATTTTGCATAATATGTCCCCTTTAACACCCTACAGATACAGATTTTTTGTCACACCAAGATAAAAAAATATGGAGGACTGCAGGTTTTTATTAGTGCTGGTAAACCAGCCCAGAACCGGACGGGCTGATGTTTGACCATCCTGAGATGGATCATAAGTGAGACTTAAAAGGAAGTTTTTCCTTCCCTGTGTCGCCTAGTGCTTGCTCATGGTGGGAATTGTTGGGTTTCTGTAATTAACTTCAGAGTAGGTCTGACCTGCTCTGTTTGGAAAGCCGTGAGACAACTGTTGTTGTGATGTGGCGCTATAGAAATAAAATAAAATAAAATTGAATTGAATTCTTGAGGATAAACAGCAGCCGACAGTCAAACTCAAAGAGAGAGTGTGAGAGGAGCTTCAGGCTAAAAAAAACAAACACAGCATCTCTTTTCATCTGTGGGTTGGTTCTGCTGCTGGTTTCCTCCTGAGGTGCATCAGGTGGTAAATCTAAGGGTTTAAAAGTTACTGACACACTCGGTAAATGATGTGTTTATTTAGTTGTGTTTATTTAGAAGTCCCAGTTTAACGGCT